GTGTTGTTGGCTGGGCGGGTGGCGCTCCTTTTCCTAGTCCTTGACGCTGCTCTGCTGCCTCTTTGACCCGTTTGATTGTGTCTGTCCCGCGGCTTGGTTTCTTCTGCTCGACCGTTTTCGCTCCCCGCATTGCCCCGCTGTGACCGCCGCCCTGCCCACGCACGGCCAACGCCACGCAGTCAAGTGACAAAGGGCGTTACGACTTCCGCCGCGCGGAGTGGAGCTCGGAGAGCCGCGCGACACCACAACAAACAAGCCATCAGGCGGGCCATCAGGCGAAGGCGGCCGGCTGTCCGTCCCGGGCTGTCCAGGAGGCTGCTGTCCCGCCCAACAGGCCCGCGTCGTCCTCATACGGCCCAGGCCAAGGCTGGCTGCTGTCCATACTATCCACTTGCGCCCCCCTTCGCGACTTCGCCCAGACAAATGGAGAGCGCTGGCAACCATCGTATGGTTACCGCAGAGGGACAACCATGATATGGTTACAAAATTAATGATCATGCAGTTATCAGAACCATATTTTAGTCCTCACGGCCATTTTAATTTTGTCTCAACCATCACACTAGGGCTGTTCCTGTAGTAACCAAATGATGGTTGCTATAGCTTTCTATTTTTCTGGTGGTTCATGGGACTCTTTCAGTCGCCAATAACTCGCGGAAGAGTATAAAAAACACTCTCACTCACGTGAGATCTGCTCGTCCCTTACCAGAAGGGTAGAACCACGATACAGTGCATCATGGGAACTGGGCACCAATCCAGGCCGGGACCATCCGATGCACGGGTGCAACAACTAACAGCACTTTACCTTCTCACTAGACGCCGCGCCGCCCCCGCATAGTAGCGCCACAAAGCAGAGCAGCGGGCTGAAGCGGTTGTGTACACACACACGCACACACACCTCTTGACAGCCAAAAGCCCTCTCTGCCTGCATTAAGGGCGAAAACACAATCTGCGGATTAAACACTGTTCGCACAGAACTGTTTTTGAGGCGTGGCCGCGCGCCATTGTTTGCGTCAATAGGCGCCATGGTGAGTGTTATATGGAGCGTTCCGCGCGATCCTTTTCATGCACAGCGCGTGTTTTCGCATGCAGCAAAAAGGCTTCTGTGGTTACGGCGAGAAGCGCAGCAGCTTGCGTTCCGGGAAGCGGGGCTGACCCGCCCCGCACGCCGAACAACAACCGCCCCTCTGAAATAAATTACAGTCATTGTTCCTAAATTCGGACTTGCGCCCTAAATTCGGACATTGTGCCCGATTTCACTATTGTCGCCTCCAAACCCATAATGCGTTGACAAAATTTAACTTCTATGGGTTTGATGGAAAGGTAAGAGCACCAAGTTTCCATTTCTGCCAAAAAAATAAATGTGTGAGTGATATTGCTTTCTCATGAAATTCCTGAAATTTGTTTTTTTAACCCCCCAAAACAGGCGTTTTTAAATGTGTCTTGCAAGAATTTGGGGCTTCGAACAGTGAAAGCCCGGGTTAATCTGACCACAACATATGTGAAACTTGGAACTTTTATCTACAATATGACACCAAGTTTTTGATTTTTCGTCGCACGGTTTAGTTTTGGGAAGCGCTTTTGCAATGCTCCCTAAATTCGGACATAGGCTTTTACATGCAAAAGTGACAACTGTCCGAATTTAGGGCTCGTTAAAAGCGATCTTTAAGCAATTCTAGCGACTAAACTATACCAGATAAGAAAATTTGGACGGTAGGGTAAGGTCAAATTTTTTCATAAAGTTTCTATACCCCCCAAAACATTTTCACTTTTCATAATTTTTCAAAGCTGTCCGAATTTAGGACGCATTGGTTCCTAAATACGGACACGATTCAAACATCCCCCACCCCTATACCGTTAGCGCGAAAAAATATTTTCGGAGAGTGGTAGGTGCGTCTCGACATGAGGATTCTAGAGTCCCCAGCGATTTTTCATATTTCAAAAATTCTAGATGTCACAGGCGTTTTTCCTCAAAAACCGTCCGAATTTAGGGACAATGACTGTATAAGCGCCGGCTTGCAGGACAAGTGGGACAAGTACCCCAACCCAGAGAGGAGGACTAGGGCGGGAAGGCGGGAAGTTCCCTAAAAAGTAGTTCGGGCGCCTTTGCGACCTTTGGCCCAGCTTATATTTAGGCCCATGTACCAGGTGGCTGATTAACCCCGCGCACTAAGTTAGACTGTACCGCACGCAAGAGTGCGGGCGGGCTTGCCTATCGCCCCTGTCCACGGCGCCCTACGGGCCGGGCGAGTAGGCAACCCGCCCGCACTCGTGCGTGCGGTACAGTATAACTACAGAAAGTGCGTGGGGTTAATCAGCCACCTGGTATATTGATGTTGGTAAAATTCTGGTCTAGCCCCGAATCCCACCCTCCGCCCTAACCAGCCTGGAAAAGAGATAAATCGAGTTAAATTTTGTTTGGCTCCGCGAAGGGCTGAATTGGCTGAAATAATCAAGCTTTTTCGTTTACTTTAAGTTTTTGTGTGTTTTTGGCATGTTTTTGTATGGAGACCTTACCTTGATGGGAACCAAATAATGAGCGACTTGGTGAAGGCGAGGGCCGGCCCTTGCCTTCTCTGCACGGTAGCCAAGAGATGAGACGGGGTGGGGTGGGGATCAGATAAAACTTATTGGGGGGCAGTGCTGCGTGACAGAGCCCCCGGGCCGGTGGCGGGGGCCAGGGCGTCGGCCGGGCGGCGAAAAGGGACGTCAAAGGGCGGCAAAACGCCAAAGAGTGTTGCACCTTTCTTGAAAGGTTTTATTGGGTCGATTATACTTTTAAAGGAATATTGACAACGAGGAACAAAACGGTTGGGGGTGACTGGGTGCCGCCGCCTGATGCCTGCTGCCGCCGCCTGCGAGGGAGGCACCACCAGGAGGAGCGGGGTCAGCCGGCGTCCGCGACGGCGGTGTTGGAGGGGCTGACGATTCTCCCGCCAGCAGTTTTACCGATGCTGGGTATATGTACTTGCACCTTGGCACGGAGTTTCGGTGCCGCGACTAAACTGTAACTTCTGCTGGAGGGGCTTTGGCTGCTCAGAGGACACCTGCTGCGCGGTGCATGCACAGGTCCAGGTCGCTGCTTTGAGCCCCGCCCCGGCCCGCCGCCGGCCCGTCTGAGGTGCGGCCCCGATGTGATTATTAGTCCAGAGTCATCCCCGGGCCCGACTCACTCTCGGAGCAGCGCTCCAACACACAATGCCCGCGCCATTGCTCATTTTGACAAGGTGAGGGAGCAGCAGAGGAAACACGTCGCCGTCGTCGGGCCGGAGTATCAGCAGTGCGGGGCGATGACAAAGCCGAGTGGGGTCGTCCCGTCCTGCTCCGCGCCCCGCCCCGCCCCGTCCACACCTGAGAGCGTCCCACCAAAGGCGAGCCGCCCTTGGGCAGCGGGGGACCCGTAGGGCCCTACGGGGTCACAAAGCAGCGCGCTCGCCGCCTTGTATAAATAAACACATCCCGCGCCTTTTGTCAATATATATGTATATACGCGACTCCTCGGCGCATGAATCGACCGACAATTTCTCTCTGAATGTGATCAAAACACGATACCCCGGAGGTTTTGGCCGCCGCCCCGTCCCGCCCCGCCTCCGGTGCTCTCCTGTTCTGGTCTCGGGCTCACATGGCGGAAAAACTCGGTTCACGCGCTCGCTGCTGTGGAACGATAAATCATCCGCCGGGAAAGGCGCGACAGCGAACGGCGGGTATTTTCGTTTGATTTTTCGCCCTCGTCATGTTTCTGCGGCGGCTGGTGCGGTAGGACTGGTTGCCTACCCACACGGCGCCCAGCGGTCTTCCCTTCCCTCGCCCGCTCCACCGGGGTGCGGTAGGGTTGCCTACCCACACGGCGCCCAGCGGTCTTCCCTTCCCTGCCCCGCGCTATCTCACCCTATGCCGCCGTGCAGGCAGGCAACCAATCGTGCCTCGACTGTGGCGCGCTCCCGCGCTTTGGAGAGGCTCACTGACAGTTGTCCGTCTCTCTAAACGCACGCCCCCGACCCCCATCCCCTCCCCTCTCCTCCCCTTCCCTGCCATCGTCATCGAAGAGAAGACGAAAGGAAAAAGAAGAAAACAAGCAGACACTAACCTAAAGTTTGCGCAGTGTTTACGTTTATGTCATTCGTTGTCTCAGTGAGGGTGGAAAACAACTGTACTGCTAAGGTGTACAAGTCAGGCACGAATGTATTCATGTACAAGGATCAAAAGAATTGAGCGCAATGAAAACGGCTCACGCTAATCCACCTGAAAAAATATGTCGGTTGTGTTTATCAGATTCGGGGGTTATTCTTCCCATCTTCGAAGGAGAAGTGGCAGAACGTTTTTCTGTGCCTCTTCCTCAAAAAATTCTGTCTTGCCTTGCCATAAATGTAAGACGCAAATGCTTGGTTTTAATATTCTTTATTGGCTTAAAAGAAATGTTTTACTGAGTAGATAGGGTATTGGGGTGGTGCTAGTTGTGTTGTTTTTCTCACAATGATTTCTGCACTTCAATTATATGTTATATTTGTCAGTAATTTTATTTTAATTTTTTGGGTGTGTGCTGATGATCCACTCCCTCCCCACATATGTCACAGGTGCTTGTATGAAGTAGACAGGTTTCACGAGTTTCGTGAAACCTGCAAGCGCACTAATACTACCTTCAACAAAATTTGTAACAACTCAGGGGATAGCATTCCTTTTGATGTCAATCAGGTATGACTGTTATGAAAGTGAATCAACCAATTATTATAACTAAATTAATAAAACATTTGTTACTCTTTAAAGGTTCTTGAAATAAAACAAGAACTCCATGATGAATCTATGTACCATGATGCTATCAGTGAATTGTTGTCCGATGATGAAGTGGCAGATATCAGTTCTTCTCGCATCAGAAAGAGGTATAGTGTTATCTTTTAATTAGTATAAGTATCTGTCACACTTGACTAATTCAGAAGACTGCATGCTTGAAAAGTTCTTTTGAAAGGCATCCATGTTTTTCGATCAAGGAGTAGAGTTGAGTGGAAATTTTCTAGGTATTAATCACAATTTAAGGGATCTTAACATCTTAACAAATTAACAAGTGCATTTTGCATTATATTTGATAGTAAGACTATGGTTTTACAAAACATCCGGGATCGCTACAAAGACCGACAGAATCATGATACATGGTTTCCTTGAAAGTTGTGTTAAGATCCCGTGAAACCACGGATTTCCATTAAACTGAAGCAATGGCAAATCTTTCTTAATGTTCCGGTCAGCACTTTTTACCAATCTAAATAACTAAAATTCATTGCCATAGTGCTAAATAAAATGAAAATGCATCTATTAATATGTTAAGTTGTTAAGATCCTTAAGCTGATAAAGCCTAAGTAGGAAATTGATATCCAATCCAATGCTATTTTCAGGAATAGATGCATTTCACTTCTTGAGTCCATGAAACGAGTCCAGCAAGCTCAAACTGCTGTGTCTGCAAATTCTTCTCACTCTGATCAGCTGCCAACAGAGTGGATGGAACAGTCTAAAACAACACAAGCAAATGATTCAAACGTCAGTTCTACACTTAGCAGTGCACTAGAGTGCAGATTTTGTGCAAAGCCATTTGTATATGAGGTAAGAATCTGTTTAGTTGTCAGTGTTATTTAGTGTCAAGTGTCTTTGATATAAGTTCAAAATATATTGTGTTTTTTCTTGGCAGAGTACACTCATAGAGCACGAAGAACTTCATGCTAAAGGTGTGGTGACTGACAATGACAGTATTGAGGATGTGGAACAAATTGGACATAAAGAACATGTGGGTCATGAGCAGCTTGTTCCATCTTCCACCCCGCAGCCAACTCGTCAAACTTCTACTCCTATCCCAATTCTTTCACCAGATCCTGTTTCAGCTTCCGCTCCTGTCATTCCTACCTCTGTTTCTGCTGTGGCTCCTCCCTCCATTCCTTCTGCTGCTTCTGCTTCTTCCCCTACCGCTGAACCTTCCTCTGCCCCTGCTCCCGTTGTCGACCCAATACCCACCCACACTTCTACATCCTCACTCGCCCCTACTCCTGCCCTTGTCCCTGCCCCTGTCCCTGCTCCTACTCCTGCCCCTGCCCTTGTCCCTGTCCTTGCCTTGGCCCTTGCCCCTTCTCCTGCCCTTGCCCTTAGTCCTATCGCTGCTCCTGCCACTGTTCCTACCACTGCTCCTGCCGATGATCCTGCCTCTGCCCCTCCCACTGCCACTAACATTGTCTCTTCCTCTATCTCACCCCCTTCCTCTACCCCTACCCATAGCCTCACCCCTACCTCTACATCTACCTCTGCCCATGTTCCTGCTCCTACTCCCGCCCAAGCCCCCAGCTCTGTTCTCATCCCTGCCCCTCCTTCAGCCCCTGCTCACACCTCTACCCCTACCCCTTCTTCAGTCTCTGCCCCTGCTGAAGCACCTACACCTACCATCTCAGCTTCAGTTCTCCCTAATCCAAATCCTACCTCTGTGTCAACTGCTGGTCAGATTATTGACAACTCCATGGTAAGTCAAGAGGAATATGCGGCCCATACAGTGCCCAGTCAAGACAATTCTCATTCCCAACATACCGTGGACACAGTGAGCTTGACTGATGTAACAGCTATGTTATTGGAGGGTGCCTTTGAAGGTGTGAGGCCTATCAGTAATTCAGCTGCAAGTTTGTGCCGGTATGACTATTTCTTTGATATAAAATAAATCTTGACCATTCAATTGATAATTACATTTTTAACTAATTTCAAAATTTTATCTCCGCTTCAGGTTCTGTCAAGAACCATTCAGTGGTACTGACCTCTTGCGGAGACATGAGCGTCTTTATTGTAACCAGAAGCCATCATTAATTAAACACAAGCAGCCATTGCAGCCTCAACAGCAGCTCCACATTCAACTAAATTCTCAGCAACCTCCACAGCCTTCTGTTGATACTCCTCTACCTACTGGAGGACACACTCAGCATCATTTAATTTTGCATCAGCAACAGTCCCAAAGCATTGGAAACCTGCCAGCAGCTCAACAACCAACTGAGCAAGCAGACCAACAAATAATCTATAGCCAAAGAGTGGTCATTGAAGCAACGCCCATGGAAGTACCAAGATCATGTAAATATTGTCACAAAGACTTCATCCACAGGGGTAGCCTATGGCGCCATCAGATGTTCTGTGATGCCAACCCAGAAAAAGACCTCAATAGAATTGTAGCAGGAAGTAAAAAAAAAGTGGTTGTTGCAAAGGTAGCCATTGCCTTCCAATTCTTTCTTATTAACTCAAAATTTGTCCCTTGTTATCTTTGATGAAGGCTTTCCGTATTTTCTTTTTTCTTACAGAGCTGTAATCAGAGAAAAGATGTGCAACAGCATAATACCATACCGGTTGTTGCTAATCATCCTAACAATTCTGGTGGAACCCAAATGCGTCGTGGCAGCATAAATCAACCTAATTCAGGTCCACTCAAATGTAAATTTTGTGAGAAAAGATTCCTTCATCGTGGCAGTTGGTGGAGACATCAAAAAATGTTTTGTTCGGTGAATCCTGAGATACCCACAGTAAAAGCCGAGTCAAGGGTCAGAAGTGTTCAAGAAACTGCCACCTTTACCTGCAGGTCTGGCTCTAGATTTTAACATATCATATTGAGGCCAACTTTACCACATTGTGGTTAGACTTTGCTGCTAAACACCACTGCTTTTAATTAGTGTTGGACTCAACATGTTAATTAAATTTTCTTGCTGACTTTGTCTTGGACTACTGATAAAATAAAATCTCTTGTCTCTAGACACTGTGAGAGAACATTCCTACATCGTGGAAGCTGTTGGCATCATGAACAAACACACACTGGCATTAAAGAGCATGCGTGTCGTTACTGTTCAAAGACATTCAATGAAAAGTCCAGACTAGCTCGTCATGAACGGATGCACCTTGGTATTAAACCATTTTCTTGCCGCCAGTGTGGTAAGGCTTTTTGTGATGCCTCCAATCTCAGAAATCATGAGCAAATCCATGGTGACCGAGCTTCATTTTTGTGTGCTTGGTGTGGTAAATCATACACTCGCAGGTATAAATTAATATGACCTATCAGTATGTAACTTAAAGAAGAAAATAACACATTTCCTGAATTACTATTCTGTCATTTTCAGAGCTCTTCTTTTGAAACATGAGCAAGTCCACGCAAGAGAAGGACAAGTTTTCCAATGCCCTTTGTGCCCAAGAACTTTCCCAAATCCAGATATATTAAATGAACATACCATGTCTCATACCGAAGAAAAGAGACGACTATACTTTTGTCAAACGTGTGGTCAATCTTTCCGTTCACAGCGCTTACTCTCCCAGCATAGTGAGCTAAACCACAACCAAGTTCACACATCTCAGCAGACTCAGCAGGCTCTGCCAGCTCAACAGGCTTCAATAGTCAACCAAGCCCACCTAGGTCAAGAGTGTAGTCTTCACAGCTGTACTACTTGCAACAAAGTTTGTGTTATTACTTTTAAAAATTTGCTGTGAAAGTAAGTGTCTCCCAGTATATTAATTATGACTCTCTTTAGTCCTTTGCAGACTTATCTGCTTTGCGGCAGCATGCATTACTTCACAGCATTGAATCAAAACCGTATCGGTGCTCCCAAAATGCTTGCAATGCTGTATTTCATGAACAATCACAACTTGAAGCACATCTTGTCTTACATGGAAGTGAAAAGACCCATTCAATCACTTTAAGTACAAATTCTAGTTTCCAGCAACAGCAGGACCAGCAACAGCAGGACCAGCAACAGCAGCAAGATCAGCAGCAGCAACTTATATCTCATGAAATTCAACATCAGCATACTTTACAGCAGCATGAATTAATACATCGTGAAGAAGCCTATGTTATTGAAGATCAGGATTTGTCAGGACAAACAATTGCTGTGCACCATCTTGTTAGTCAAATTCCATAGAAAACCTTCAGCTTCCAAAAGCTTTTAATAATAGGTAATGTGACATTTTATATGCCCATTGTGATTATATGTTTTCGTACAGACCAGTCATCTAACAACCATTTTAAAATAATGTAATCGAAAGTAATAAATAATAAATGGCACTCCATTAGAGAGAGAGATATATATATTTTTACTTGTTCCTTACCCGCTCATCTACAAGTTATTGCAATCACAGAGATTTAATTGAAATAACTCCAAGTTATTGCCAGATTTGACTGTTGCTACTGTGCTACAAAGGTGTGTGGCTGGGGGCGTCGGATGTCATATATAGTCCAAAAAAGAATCTTATGTAGGCGGGTCGGATTAAGCTGACTCTGGCAATAACTTGGAGTTATTTCAATTAAATCTATGTGATTGCAATAACTTGTAGTTGTTGGAATACCTCTTAGCCCCTTTCCTGTGAGGAGAGGGTCATCAGAAACCTAACTGAGATAAAGCGAAGATGTTCGAAGAAATAAGATATATTTTTATTTCAACAGCCCAAAGAATCTACAATACATGTTCGTGATAGGAAGGTTTAAAAACTTGATAATATAGTACGACAATATACATATGTTTTTGTCACAAAATCACAAATTTATAAAATTGACTAGCTTACATTCTACCATGTGTACTTTCATGGATGACAAGAGAAATACTGATAAGCATAATGTTTAAAATTAAACTGAAATTTTTTTGTACAGCAGCTTAAGGTAGAAACTAATAAGTGCTGCCAAATTAAGCACTTAACCTTGACACAATGGACATTTAATGAAACACATATTGACAAAGAGCTTCATTATTTTTACTTTTCACACTATCACCAAGCAGTATGAAATAAAATAGGTGGCAGCACATTACCTTGTAACTAAATCACATTGTCTTCACGCATGAGTTGATTGCCAGCAATACATGCATATGTACAGAACAGCTCACTCAAATTTCAGGTTAACGATACACAATAGAAAAAAATATGTGCAACTTAATTATAAAAGTCATTCCAGAACTTCTTCTTTAAAATATAAATTTCTTACATTTCAACAACATAATCTAACAAAGCTAAACAACTGTGATCTGAGCAACAAAAATAAGTTTAGATTTAATTCAAGCATGCCTCAGCACCACATTTTCATTAATATTAGATGTTTGTGAGTACAAAATGGGTACTCAGCTATGAACTTTCATTTTGAAAATCATACAAAGTAGCACTATGGTGTTCCACAGCCAGCAAAAGAGCACAGAAATTGTGTTTATTGCTAAATTCAAGAGATAGCTGAGGTGAACTTCTTACAAAAGCCATTCCTTCAACAGAACAGAAGTGCAATTGGAAATTTAGAGCACAGTAACTTCTGTTGGCACAAAAGGAGAGTCAAATTTAAGATCTTAGCTTACTAGACCAGAAATAGACTCTTTTTCCTCTTTATTTAAGTACATATCCACATTTTCTGACATGTCACAGTAGAAATTAATAAAAAAATTGGTTTCAAACGGGCAAAATACGTCTGTAGAAGGTGAATACAAACAAATAGAACCTTTGCAGGAGAAAGCACAGTTTTCTCTCTAACAAAGAGGTCACCCCACAGCAAAGTTGACGTTCAGAAGCACATTTTTTTGAGATTAGCAAATTAACTTTTCAAGTTTTCATTGCATCATTGTGTTTTAGACTTACAGTTAACTAAAGATAAAAATCTTGCCTCAATACTTATTAGCACTAACAAAGAGTAATTTTTATTTTAAGAGGCGTAAGTATAAATCTTGCATATTTATTCTAGTCAGTAAGAAAAATTTAATTAACTGCTTTAAAGAATAAAATTTTCAATATTCAACAATTATATGTACAAGGATGGAGTTTTTCCATTTCCACAATTCTAATCATCTCGGATCATTTCCACACCAATCTTCCTTTTCAAAAAGGTTTTAATCACAAATTTGAGAGCAGATGAAATTTACATTTTCTATATGAAATAAAGGGAACAATCTAAAATCTCGATTAATTAGATTTGAGCACAGTGTGGCAAATGTAAACGCAATTGATGGAATCAAAAATGCATCAACACACCCTGGAGTACCTTGATGCTTGAATTTGGAAAAATCCTAGATTTCTGTTAAGAGATAGATATCCAAATTTATAGATAGACTACAGTAGAATGCAAACAGTTTGAAATTGCAATGGATTGAAATAGCAAAGATTTTAATCAAAGCCATGAAATGTGAATGGATGCCTATGACTGGCATAATATTGAGTCATTTTAAGCTGCCATACCACGAAGAAATATTATGTCAGAACACAGGTACATGGAAATCTTTACACATTAACTGACCATTTTAAGAAACCACCATAAATCCCACAGAAATATAAACCCTAAGTACAACTCCGTAGCCATCAGATAACTACCTTATTAAATATAAGGACGATGAATTTACATAGTGAACAAATTGCTAGTTAAAAGATTAAATTTGTTTCTTAAATAAATATTTTGAACATAGCTATACATTTAGAAGTACAGCTTTGTCAAAAGAAGCAGTACCCTGAACTATTTTAGCAGTGCCAGCATTTAAGTACAAATGGATTATGGAGATCAAATCACCTGATATACAAACAATAATTCTGATGAACCTCTCAACAAATTAAAGGAAAATCTAACAAAACATGAGATACAGCCCTTTCATGAAGCAGATTGAACTATACTATACAGAATAGTGTCTAGCCTGGAACAAGAAAGGTTCACACAAAATGGGATTATCAACATTGGCATAATATACCAACAGCGATTGGCTACCTAGGTATTATTACAAAAAACTCATTACTTTTCCTAAATTATAATTGGTGTTATGGATTCCAAACACAGATGTGCATTAATGGTTCATTTGGGAGAAAAAGAAGGAAACTATAGATGTCTACAGTACAAAAGTATTAAGTTTTCCCACTTATCCCACCCTCCCCTCCGATAAATATAAATTAAAAAAAATTGTTCATTTGCAACGCACAATTGCCTAAATAATATAGGTCATTTGAGTCATCTCTAATGCAAAAAATTTCACAGCATAGTTTTGGAGAGCAAATGTGAACATGAACTTACCCCTTGAAAATGAAGCTCATGGCAGTCTAAACAATGTTTGTTTACAATCGTGTAAGAATAGAGAGATTGGGAAAAGAGACAATTATTGCACAGCCTTTCAACAACATCACAAATCTGGATGTGACAGAAAGGCACTTGCTTCAAAAAATGAGCAATTTTTCAAAAAGAGGGTACATATAAAGTGGATCTTTAAAATTTTACACAACGGTTTTGCGCTAAAGTCAAAATTATTAGAAACAAGACTATAACAATCTTTTGAAAGTAATTTACACTGCTCAATTAACAAAAACATGGTTGGGACTACTTTAGCTATTTCACCTGACCCTAGAGGTTTAAAAAAGAGTAAAAGTAGGCTTGCTTTGAATTTAAATGATTTTAGCTGCTTGTCTACGGAGTCATGTTGCCTGTCTTCACCATGTAGAAAAATATAATCTTTTGTATTGTTGCGCCTGAGATTTTTCCTGCTCTGACCCGGATGAACCCGGATGAACCCATTCCAACTATTTCTTTGAAATACCTTGTCATACATTGTATGCAAAACATTCCGATTTCAACAGCAGCTGAGAGAGACTCAAAATAAGCCGCTTCGTGCCAAGGAACTGAATAGTTCTCTATCTAAGCAGATATGTTTTTTCAGAATCAAGTATTTACAAAGAATGTTCTTACATTAAAAGAGAAGTTGCTGAGAGCTACTATAGTGCAATTATAGAAGAGAAACGTAGGCACCACCAAAATTGTATTAGGTAAATATGCTGGCTGGTGATTAGATAATTAGGTAATACAAAATAGTAGAGAAGCAATCACAGTATAAATGACAAAGGAGCCTACATTCAAAAGAAGCAGCGCTTTAAAAGAGGAATGAGACGGTACAAAAATGATGTCAATTCTGCTAATTGAAAGAGATTAAATTTTCTTTTAAGCGAATGAGAAAAAAGGAATTAAATTACCAGTTTGGCCTGGGATGGAAGATACTTTTTTTTTTCAGTGAAAAGGTTTGTTGAAGAGGACTTGAAGCAGTCAAATGACAATTGCACTACAGGAAAGATTGCATTTTCCAATAAAGTAGAGTCAGGTGTATCAAACATGTTTGATAAAGAAGAAGTGTCATTCTTTACTTGTGCTGGTATGGTGGAAGTAGTTTGACTCAGCTCTGGCAAGGAGCCCAGGCCAGTCAGAGTCGACTGATCTAAAATCTCTTGTACAAGACATTTTTTCCCCTTGCAAAGGAAACAAATATGCAGGTCACTACGTGGCGTTTTAGTGGGTTGGAAAAAAATTAAAGGCAGGAACCATGAGGTAAAGTAGAATGGAACAGAATTACATAGAGCGCGGAGTATCAAAATCGCATGTCATTGATAGTTGACAGGTGGTGTTTCTACAATTAAAAAAACCTGGTCACATAGAACATTATTTTACCAGGGCTCTGATTTTTATGAAATTAGTCTCCTGCTTCAAAGGCGTCTTGAGGCCCCTACAAGGCATCTCAAAGATCTAGAGGACAGTGATCGGCTTATCTCAAGCTTGTCTGAGGATGAGGCGCAATAATGTGGTTATAATTATATTGTTGGATACAAAGTTCATGAGCTGAAGGTGGCAACTAACTTGCACCATACCCAGCACAATACTTGTTCTTCCACCTCCACATATCTGAGCAATATTGAGGGTAAGAACCAGGTAAAATACTGACCTACCAAAGCCATTGAAAATTACTTCTTCAATAAAAACCCTACGGAGTTTGTGTCAGAGACAAATAAAATTTGAACCTCCTCTTAAATCTTCCCTAAACAATTACAATAATGGGTTATGCAAATTTTATATTTACTTTATAATAACTGAGTTTAGAAATCTTAATAAGAAATCCTAATAGTGTGACTAGATTGTTTTTGAATGAATTAGTTTTAAGGAAATAAAAACAAATTTGATGACTTGAAAGACTGGTGTCAAGCAGAGGAAGTTTCCAACAAGAAATGGAACAGCTACAGTGTAACAAAGAAAACATGATATTCTACTAATAATTATTGGAAAAAGAAAATTCTCTTTCCTATGACATTCACCCCATCACTTTCATACATCTTCCATCTTTGTTAAATCATGTTAATTGGCTTTTTATACTTTGATTCTCTACTACTGTCATATAAACTAAGAAAAGAGTGAAAATCACCAAGAGGAAGAGGATTATGAAACAGTTAAGTAAAGAGTAAGTAATGGATAAGAATCATAGGTAATCATGCCAAACAAAAACTCTCTTTAAGAATTGGAAGCAAATCTGCAAGTTATCCTTGCTCCTCTCATGGTTGGAAAAAAATTCTGATAACTTTGCCAAAGCATACTGTACTGTATGAGGATCTCATTGATTGTCAAATATTTGATTTTCCTTATGGCCTACAGTAAAACAAGTTTTAAATTTTTTTTAAAACCACACACAAAAAAACAACAACAGAAGAATTTACGAACACTTTACAAAGCAAAACTAAAAAATAATCATACCTAGTATTCTGGTTGTATAATGTATTGATGAAAAAGATAAAGTATGAAGTCAAGGATTAAGAATGCAAGATAAATAGGCAGGAAGATAATGATGAATTTAAGTTTATGTGACTATATTTCTCTTGGAGTTTCAAGTTATGTATATAGTTCCACATATGTACCTCATTAGACGTACAAGTGTGTGACTAGATACAAATCAAAAACCATATTTATATTCTAATTCAAAACTACAAATGTTTTGAAGGGTATGTTACATTTTGTTTGGGCATACTCACAACTGAGAATTATTCCCAGTCACCTCAACATTGAAATTAAGAGATAGAGAGAGAGAGAGAAAGGGAAAGAGAAAAGAAAGAGAGCACAAAGCAAAAACTTCTAGATGACCTCTGTCTCCAAACCAACAAAAAGTAATCCTTCGAAATAAATATGGGACAAACTGAGGAGTTCCCTCTAAATGCAACAAAATAAATAATTCAAAGACCAAATCCACAAAAGGAAAAGTTTCATGACAAATTATTTACATAGTCTTTCCTGACAAATCACAGATATATTAGGCCCAACTCAAGTCATGAGTGACAAAGCCTTCATAAAGTCTATTTCCAGCCGAGAGAGTACTCATGATAGCTGCCTACTTCTCAGTATCTAGACCAAAAGTATGGAGATTGTTGTATCTTTATATGATAGCACCATACCACTGTACTTATATTGGAGTCACTACCCATTTCAAGTACTAACGTTATATATGTGGAAAGAATATCTGGTAAAACTTAAATGTACATACTGCAGTTCCATAGCACTGTTCACAGCTCCGCTTCTGTATAGAAGTGTTCAGTATTTAACAGAAATCAAAGTTACACAACCATCACAGTGAAAATATTAGTAAATCTGAACACTTCAAAATAATATCATATAAGAAATACAGGCAAAAAGAACTAAGGCACAACTCATTTGTGGCCAGCACTTCTCCCTACTGCCAGCCAAGGACCACCGAAATATTCAAGCTCAACAGTAAAATCATGCCTTGTCCAACAAATAACTGTGCTTGTCTCCATTTTTCACAAGAGTTAATTTTCTTGTGTGAACACCAATACCAACACAAGTGAACTCTGGTCCTTCTCCACAAATGGATGTAAAATAGGGCAGATAGAGCAGAGGTCAATCAAAATTGATAATACTGGATCAGATATGAAAAGAAAATAATGACAATAAGAGTAAGATTTAAACTACATATATCATGGATGAATTAAAATAAGGATAGGTGAGCAAATTGAAACGGGCTTTTTAAAAGAATGAAAGAAACCGGGTAAAATAAATAACTACATGAATATTTGAGGGCCTGCCTCTATACCAGAGAATGCTCATAACATATTCAATAAATTTCTCAAACAAAATTAACAGATGTGTATGGCAAAACTTGGAGAAAAAATTAAATATTTTCATTGCCACATTTTCTCTTTAACAAAACCTGAGGTGCAGTATTTGGGTTAAATTCGTTTTTTAAATTACACATTACGATAAGCACCAAGTGATCAATCAATTAATCAATAATGACATAATTGAACATGTTCTAGCACAAAATTATTGCATAAAATGGCACATGTGGCTATATGGACTCTGGATGCAAGAAATAAGAATAAAAATATCACTGACATAAAGTAAGGGGAGACATCAGAAAATACCCTGGCTTCCTCGCATGATTTGAAAATAAGACAAAAGATAAGTGCAATCAGAGGAAATCCGGCACAACCACATCCAACAGACCAAACAATAGCTAGCAATCATCAAGAATTGAAAGTACACTTTTTAAAGATGTAATCAAAAGAAAACCTTAGTCATTCTTTAAAATACTCGGGATTTTTAGAAAAGAAACTTTAACAATTCTACCTTTGCATATTGCAGTCATCATAATCTTTGTTTGTTTTACAATGTTTTTATGAGGAGAAACTGCCAAAGCACTTGTACGCACCCAAAATGGTACAAAAGCAATTTACAGAAGAGCATTTGCAACTAAATGCAAGACTGTTAAGCACGCTTCAGAAGAGAATATATCTGAATCTGTAAAGTTAGTAAGAGAAATAATTAATAAACATGTGAACATTAATCACATAAATAAGAGTACTTATATATTTTAAATATGTGTGTTACCCACCTTATTTACACATTTGAATTGTTATTTTGACCGATGTTGGAGGACAACAAAGTTTCGAGACAATGCTACCTTGGGTGGGCAGCCAGGAACACTGACAGGTCCAACTGCTTCTCTTTTGCGGCTGCCAAAGCTCGTTCTGTCTGCAACCTGAAAAGAATTTCACATTAAGACTATACAGTACTTGTACCTTGATTGTCATGAACACACGAAATAGTTGACAGTAGAGCAGTCTTCAATCATCAATATGTAAATCACTCTTTTCTTGTTTTGTAGGTACATGATCTAACACAAAGAAGTTAGTTCCAGTCTTAGAAGCAAACTTACCACTTGACCTGATGATACATCCCACTCACTAAAGCAGCATTAAAGATAAACATTTTTTTTAATGACCTAAGATTAATTACACCACTTTGAAAGTGGACCTGACACTTACTTGTTTTTAGATTGACGCATGAACTGTTGAATCTTCCTGGCAGCTTGATGTTGACGGCGTTGAGAATATGTCCTCCTAATGAATATTAGACCCGAATAAGAATTGATTGTAGTTATCCACAAACTGCTGACTACAAAATAAAATAAAATATTGATGTCTTACTTGAGACCAGATGATGGAGCACTTTCAAAGCAAGAACTTGTATTAGATGGACTAGATGACCGTGCTCCATGCTCACGATAATTCCTATAGTAGTTTTGAATGCAAACTGCAGCCTCTTGGCTTTTCTTGAAACGTTTGTGTTCTTGATAAGACCGGAATCCATTCTGTATTACTGTAGCAGCATGTGTCATTTGTTTAAAGTATGCATACTGAAAACAGATGAATAAAAAGTAAGAAACAGAAAAAACAAGTCAGCATGAATTTTTGATGAAGGGAGAGATTACCTGTTTATAACGTCGATAATAGTTTTGGATCAAAATTGCAGCCGCACGCTCCTTCTCTTGTTCCTCAGCTATTTTGCGTCCCTTGTACGACCGGTACGCTTTCTGAATTATTTTTGCAGCTTCATACAGCTCTCTTTGCTCGCGATCTGTGACAAAGCCATAGTTATTAAGCTATTGAAGTCTTTGAATGTACAGTGAACAGAACACCCTCACTATGGGCCGTTTGTGAATACCTGAGAGGGTCAGATTGGAAAAGTCTTTTTCAAACAAAGAACCTGATGCTTGAAAAAATTCACAAAAGTCTGCAGTGGTAGGAGGAGGGGATGGTGATGATTCCAGTACAAAGGAGCAAGGAGATTGAAGACAGCTTGATGATGAAGGGCTAAGACTAGAGCTTGGAGTGCTCACATCATAATACCTATTGAACAATTAAATATCACTATAAATGCTAGGACTGATAAAACAAACTTCTGTTAAAACTATTTAACTTTCTGAGGAATACAAACCTATAGTTGTGATCACTGAATTCAAAATTAAATTCATTGGATTCAAAGGCCGAACTAGGGGGCTCGTCAAGAAGAGACGAATCCATAAATACATCAAGCACCTCATTCTTAAGATCACCCGGAGAGGAACTATCATCACTCATCATTGAATCATCACTACCATTCTGAAAATTCACAATGTAATATGAAGCTGTTAATTTCACAGAAACACATTAGGAAGCAGTAAAGGCACATTTTCATCGGGTATGAGATTTAAAAAGTCCTACCAAAATCAACATTAAACCTAAAAACTCATAACCCTTTTTTTCTTTCATTTAAATGTTTGCCAAATTACCTTTATTCTCTCTGGTATAGCAGCTATTATTTGCTCGGCTAAAGTTAGAACTCGAACTTCTTGTTGCCCTGTAACATTAAATGTACAATCTTAGTGCAAGGTGTCTTGGAACCTTGAAGTCTGCTGGGAAAAATAGATCAGATAGGTTTTTAAAAATACATGCCTAAGGAAACACACACCGAAAGGTACAAGAATTATGCTAAAGAATTCGCAGCAAGCACACCCTCACAACACCGACCAAAATGCAGGTAACATCAAAACACTCAATTATAACAAGCAACACTGATACAAAAAATTGTACTTGCAACACATCCACCCATCTTAGCATCCCTTTCCTCATTAAACAGAGTTTATGTTATTCGGAATTAGTGACAGGTTAATGGATGGAATGTGTTTGATTGGAATTGGGAGTATAATGGTCATAAAAACCAGTTTTAATTTTAATAGATAGATAAGAAGTCAAAGTACCTAGGTTAATGACAGGACTGAACTACTGGATTGTACAAATGCACTGTTTTTATGAAACCAACAAAATTCCCAAAGTCCAAAATTTAAAGCAATTCCTATGTTAGCACACATATAGCACACATATAGCTTAAAATAAACTATTTCTGCAGGGTGCAATAATGTCTGTTAACCAAGAAAGGAAGGGAAAAGAAACAGCAAAATGGAAGAAATTTTCCAGGCCCTGAAGAGAACTGCAATGAGACGCATACAGCATTTAAACATCATTCCTTTGACTTCTGTGAAAATTTGATACTGAAAAATATTACTGTACAATAAACTGATTTGTAAGAGAAAATAAAATAAAATATATATTAGCTAATTTGAACTATGAAAGCAACTATAAGTTGCAAAGAATGAAATTCTCAAATGCCATATGTACTGGATAAGAACAAACAGAATTTGAATACTCTTCACTACACCCATAGGAAGCACACAACATTGACTTCTTCAAACTCTTAACAATTCATAAATATAGTGTATTCAGCTCAGTGAGAGTTGAAAAGTACATGATAAAACAAAAGCACTGCAAAAATGCCTGACTTTCAGTCACTCTTCAATTAGTTATCATTAAAGTAAGAAATTGTTTAACCGGTGCGGATTTTGTTATTTGGACCTCTGTTCTTCTTCTCTCATAAAGCTGATATACACTATGGATAAAATAGAAAAACTAACATTGAGTGAGACTATGAACCAAGCTGTGATTGGAACACTGCATGCAGGTTAATTGACACAGACAAGCATCAGTGCACCACACCAACCACATCCAAGATAAAGTATAATAACAGTCCTAAACACCAAACACAAACATTCTTAGCTAGTTGCTAAATATTTAACAACAGACCAATGAAGAAATTTGTAGTGAAAGCATGTTGACCATGTCAGAAAAAGTGATTGTCTTGCACAATGAGACGCCATAGGTTCCTCAATATTTGTGTTCAGTCATGTTCAATGGTAGTGGATCTTACAGGTCGGACCTTCTCAACAGAAATTCTCTTTTCTGTTGTTGTTGTTTTGTAGTTAGTTTTCAGAGTACTTATAGTGTGGAAAAAGTTTTACACCTTTCAGGACTTTTAAATGAATTCTGAGGGAAAATCATCCCAAAAAACAAAGATATACCATAACTTTCTTTAAAATGAGAGAAATAAAAAGGTTGCACGTTAACAGAAAAGAATTTGGACTACAGAAAACTACAAACTTGAAAAAAATACGAAATAATTGGACTCAATTGACTGCAAACCTCAAATTGCCATAAACAGAAAGAAGGTTAAAAATTGTACCGTATGTATATTTATTAATAATATTATTTATTAATAATAGACCTGAAAATGTATTAGGGTGCATTTTACCAAGTGTGATGACTGAAACTAAAAATCAGAGTCCTTGATCAAAAGCTGAAAATAAAAAGGGATTTTGCTTATGATGAATTTCTTGTATATTACTGTTGCTACAGTGCTGTGTTTGAGTTGGCATGATTTTCCATGTTTTTATGGCATTTAATACTGCACATTCTTCTGGGGACGGTTATCTACATTAGAAAACTTAGCCATATTCATCACATGCTGATTGTTAAAAACAAAAACATGACACACATCATGCAGTTAATTAATGCAAATGATTAATGAGCCTATTCCTAGGGTACAGAAACTGAGACAGTAAAAACCAAGAACAAAAACACAGAGGCTGCTCTAACCAAAATGTATACCATGAACCAGAGTCGTGCTATGATTACTCTGGTTTCCCAAATGGCACAAAATTGATTGAGGTAATTGATTAAGAATAATTCTGTAATGATATCATCTTCTTTCAAATTTGCTGGACTATGATTTTACAGACAGGTTCTAAATGTGGCACAAAACCAGTCAATAAAATTTGAATTTGAATAAATTAATTTTGCTGTTCTGTATTTCTTTTTAAAAATTTGCTGCACTTGGTTTCAGTGACATTTATTTCTCACATGGAACAGCAGTCAAATCAAGATTAAGTTATTTATTTGTGCCATTTTTTACTAGTAAGAGGTATGAGATGTGCCACACAAAGGAGACGCAAGGTTAGTGGGGACACACACATGCGCATTACATTGCAAGTGTTTAGCCTCATGATTCGTCACTGTCTTAATCAATGTGATAAACAGAAAAAAAAATACTATGTGTAGTATTTTTTAAATCTCATACAATTAAATTGATAAAAATTTGCCCTGAAAAAGAAGGGGCGAATAATGATCACATGATGGGCAATGACGACTGAGAGGCATACGACTGACCTACAACACTTTCCCTGCTTTCCGATTCTTCATCCGAAACGCCTTCAATGTCGATTAGGGGACTGTCACTCCGGTCTCCAGATGTAACTTCGCCTGGATTAACACCAAGCGTGAAATAGACATACCAGAACATCACAGACTAAAGCAAACACAGCAAGCTAACATTATTCAAAAAGAAATTCCAGAAATAAAAGTCAGAAGTCATGTGTGCACGCTGGGCAAAATAAAGTTGTAGCTTGTAGAAACATTGTTAAAAAGAACAGAAACCCAACTTAGGGGCTAGTATATGTACCATACAACCAATGCCTGATTTTCAAAATGAGGTAGAATATCTACTAATTTCTTTACTTTTTCCTGTTATGCATGCAGGTTATGCAAGCATACCTTGAAAACCCAATTGAACACTTAAGCACAATTTCACCCTATGTAACAGTATAAGAACAAAACTGTATTTTCTAGAAACTTAGAAGCTATTAATCAGATCATTTATATGCATTCTAGATCATTTATAAGCATTTCTCATTATCCGCTCTTAATCAGAAACAAATTTACATCATACCTAAAGTAAACAAGTGATATAAAGACAGAAATATTTAGTTCATATTGTTGTTTGCAGGGCTACCTAATACTTACACAATGAAAAATCTCCTCTTCGAGCAGGTGAGTTACATCCATTGGTACCAAAGACATCACTGGCAGATTTAGGAGAATTCAGAGGAAGGGACATGCTGCGGTCAAACCTATAGGAATTCATAAAACCTTCAGTATTTAAAGAATGTTGTTGCAAATAAGTACCAGCCACAAGTTTACCTTGAAATTCGAGAACTGTCTCTGCCATAACGATTGTTTCTGAGGGACCTAAGAGATGTGAGACTGTCGCAGGATGACTGTGTAGATTGTCCAGAACCAAGGTTAATCCCACTATCAACTGATGGTCTCTTAATAAGGTGATGAGCTCCTCGTTTTTGAGATTGCGATTGCCGATTGTCAGCTTGCTCAAGATCCACTGCAATAGTGAGAGTGCCGTACATAAAATGCCTTTCCTTGATAATTTACCGACTAATAATCATTATAACATCATACCTGATGGTGATGGAGTGTCTAAGCTACTAGGAGAATTTGTAAGTGGAATGTTGACCTGGAGCTCCAAGTTCCTTTAACAACACATAAATTAATTCAGTCCAAAAAGTAATTGCAATCAACACATCATAACTCATTACATTTTTCCTTACTTATTCTTTTGCACATCACTTCGATTTCTAGCTGCTAATGGTCTTAAAAATACTCCATCATGTGACCTTGATGATGGAAGGGAGGTCCAGGGGCTTGCCTCAAGTAAACTGTCTTGTGAAATGTCCGTCCCAACATTGGAGGTAGAAACACATGTGGAGGCTGATGATGAAACTGCTGATGATGGTAGGGACACAACTGAACTGCATGGAGAAAGACCCGACGATGGAGAGGGAGATGGAGGAAACAATAATGAGAGCATGTCACTGTAAACCAATTAAAAGGTTTTAAGAAAGGATTTCAATATGGAAATTTCAAACTGGTTTGCACGTGCATACAAACAGAAATGCAGACTAACTTTGATTGACTAGAAGGAGACACAGCACGATTCTTTTGACGATCACTCTTTAATTTGTTTATTTCTGCTACTAGAGATGTAAAACCAGATGCTCTTGCAAGGTCTAGAGCACTTTGATTGAAAATATTAACCATTTCTAATGTTGAATAGTTCCAGCGGTACAAAACTAGAGCAGCCTCTGTATGCCCTCTAGAACATGACCACATCTAAAACAAAAACAAAAACATAGAAAATATTCTAGTCAACTGGGTAAATTTATCAATGTTTAGTTATTATATTTTGATCAGAAGAAAACCTTACCAAAGGAGTAAAGCCTACTTCATCTTTACTTTCTGCATCAACTTCTAGATCTAAGATAGGAGAGGAATTCTCTTCCCGCCAGTGAATGAGAGCTCCGATAAGTCTAGAATATCCAAGTGCTGCAGCCAGATGCAGTAAGGTCATGTTGCGGTGGCTTGTCAGAACTGGCATCTCAACATCTTTCCACAGACAGGACGACATTCGTCGGGTTCGCGAAACTAGTCGTTCTTCAAGGTCACCAACACTTTCCATCTGTAGAAGAAATTTGATGATTAAATTTGTTAAGTAAACAGTTTGACTAATAGCACCCACAAATTAATGAAAAGTCTTGTGATGCAGTATTTTTCTTTACCAAATCAGAGCAATGGTCACTTTGTTCTTGTTTGATGTGAAGCCGCTGATTAACTGTCTCCAGTCTATGAAGTAAGGTGAGTTTGAGCAAAGAATTGGAGTCAGCTGTATCACGCTTATGATCTTGAAGTGCAGTTCCCAATGTTTCAACCGGAGACTTGGGAGGTTCTTTGTATTCAAACATGACTGAGTTTGAAACAATTTGACCATCACAGGCAACTTGAAGTGTTGCTAGTCCCACCTCATGAGCTGAAACAGAATGGCACATAAAGAAGCATGTACCTTCATTAACTGTAATTGGACTCAACACTACCACAACCACCACACCAAAAAAATTAAAGTTGAAGGAAGTATAACATACCAGGACAATAGCACCGCAGAACTCCCTCTTGAACTAGAGTTGTTGGTACAGGAAGGGAGTCGAAAAGAACGGTGTAAGGGGATGACGAATACCAAGGGCCAGTAACCAGGACTTTAACGCCACCCTAGGAAAATTAACAAGATATACAATACTTGTATAGTTGTAACTGGACTTGGGGTTCAAAACAAATAAATAAGTAAAATTGGGTGTTTCTTTGCATGCGCTTCAGTTGTGGATTTGCCTACTCCCTTTAGCGCATACCCCCCCCCCCCCCCCCCCCCTGCGGCCTTTGAGAGCAATCCCGTAACACTGGAGCGCATGTAGAGGAACGACCGATACTATAATGTAAAGGAGCTGTATTATTAGCAAGAAATTCATACCTCAGGATATGCCCATTCGGGTGAGTATTCTGTAATTTCAACAGAGGGGAGGCCAGTTTCATTACTATTATTCCCATTCATGTGATGTTCATGAACATGTTGCACATGCTGTTGCTGGTGTTCCTGTTGGTGCATTTGTTGCTGATGCTGCTGTTGTTGTTGCTGCTGCTGCTGCTGTGAGTCCTGGTTATCTTCTGATGGGCTATGATCCTCTTCTTGCTTTAATTGACTAAGGACGGCATCATGTTCTGGTTTAATGTCAAGTAGAGGATGCTCCTGATACTGAGATTGTGCATGTTGATGGCTATGGTCCATGCTAGCAGCCGACGGAGATTCTGAATTTTCAGAATTTACCATCAAACCTGTTGTAAGAAATGAAAGACACATTAATATTTCAAGCAGAAAATAAAATATTGTATCTTAAGGTGAAATAAAGAAGACAAACTTAAGTCTGCGGTCAGTCTTTTTCCACTTACGTGAACTTTGAGATGAATTTTCAGCTGTATTATCTAGGCCATCCATATCCACAAAGTCGCCCAGCATATCGAAAGCATCTAGATTTACAAAAACATCCTCATCATCAGCGGATCCTGACACCACCTCACAGCCTTCAATAAAGTCCATGGGGTTAATGTCATGAGGGGACATCTCATCAGGGCTCGTTTCTTGAACTGAAGTCACTGTATCCATTGGCCTTGATAATAAACTAAGTGTTAAGAGATCATCCAATTATTTTCAAGCACTAAACAAAATTAATATGGTTACTCACGTGTGTAACCTTTGATCAGATGAGCATGACATTGGCATATTTGCTGACAGTGTTCGCTGAATATCTTCTTGGGTCATCTCGAGTGCATCAAAGAATCCAGCTGAGCTACTTGCATCACTACTGCTGTTTGTTCCATTATTCCCATTTGACTTGTTACCACAACTATTATTTCCTACAACCTCATCACAGAAGGATTGCTGAGCTTCAAGCAAATCGGGACTGGTGTCCATTTGCTTGGAAGGAGAAGGGGGGCTACTCGTTTGCTTTGCCACATGAATAGCCTGCTGATTGGTAGCACTACTTACAACCTGAAGGTGTTGAGTTTCCTGACTGAATCCAATGTTGTCATACATAACGAAATCTGAAACAATCAAGCTTCTGTTCATAATGTGCTCTAAATCAATACTACTTAGTCGAGTGTTCAATCTGCTAACCTGCTATGTTGCCATTGGTGACATCCATGTTGCAGGCCGAGCTGGTGACGCTGACCACCGTGCTGCTGCTCTGGCTCACGGCCGTCATGGCAGCCATGCGGCACGTGTTCATCTCCATGCTCTCCTGCTCCTGCTTCATGAGGAGCGAGGTCGACGTGGAGGCGGCGGCCGAGGCCTCCGACACGACCGCTTTGTTGGCCAGCCCCGCCGCCTCGGCCACGGCGGCGGCCGCAGCCGGCTTGATCTGCTGCACCAGGTGGTGGTGGTTGTGGTGCGGGTGGTGCGGGTGGAGGCCGGGCACGGCCGGCACGTTCCGCACGAACGACGTGACGGTGGCCACCTGGTGGGCCGAGGCCGGGCCGAGGTTGGCCTGGCCGTTGGCCGCGTTGTTGAGGATGAGCAGGCTGCTCGTCTGGATCTGGCTGAGGCTCAGCACGAGCGGCGGCGCCGACTGCTGCTGCTGGCCGTGCTGCTGCTGGTGCTGCTGGTGCTGGTGGTGGACGAGCTGGGCCGCGGCCTGGTGGTGCTGCTGCAGCTGGTGCTGCTGGCGCTGCTGGTGCGCCTCCGACAGGTGGATCTGGTGCGCCGTGTGCTGCGCGGCGTGCTGGGCCGCGTGGTGCCGCTGCGCGATGATGGACGAGCCCGTCGTGGACGACACCTGGTTGCTGCGGTCCAGGGTGATGAGCTGCGGCTTGGCCGCCGTGATGCGGCGGATCGGGTGCGAGCACGTCTTGCCGTCGGCGCACGTCGAGTCCGGGCAGCCGCACTCCAGCTGCTTGGACAGCGTGGCGGCGCGCGCCGCGCGCTGCCGCTCCATCAGCTGCGTCACGATGGACTCCACCGTCTCGGCGGTCTGCAAAAAAGATGACGGCCGCATTTAGATCAAAGAGGGCGAGGCGAAAATCCCTCCGGGGAAAGAGACGGACTTTTGTTTCTCGCCGTCTATCTGTCCGACTGACTGTCGACCGCCAACAGAAACCCAGGCCGAGTGAGTGCCCCATTACCGACTTTCGGCGGACAGTTCTCAAGCATCGTCCCACTCTCGAGACTTTTAGTTGGAGGACGGACAGGGCGAAGGATAGATGGATGGGTGGATTGTCGGATAAATAGATTGATGGGTAGATAGGGTGGATAGAAAGGTATCGAGAAGAGGAGGTATGGCGCCTGCACGCGCGAGGGCGGGCCGTCCCGTTAAGCACGCGTGTGCAGCGCGTTGCCTACCCACAGCTCCGCAGGCGCTCCTTCTAGGCAGACTTTCACGTGGACGGACGATACTCACCGATATTTCAAGCTCGTTGTTGTGATCCGGCTCGTCCTCGCTGTAAACTGTAAAACAGGACGACATGTGTATTTAGTGCGCTGTTCATTGAAGACGAGTTGGTAAAAATAAGAGTCATAAAAGTAGTAAAAAAAAGTGAAATAAATTTATAATTTGACTAGGATACGTTCTGGCGAGAAAATGAAGGACAAGTTAGTGAGTGAAGCTGTCTGGATGAGTCCGGCTACGGAGATGTGTACATGTACTGTGGCCATGCGATTAGTTTGCGTGCACATGCAGGTGTGTGGTTTGTTACAGTACCTGTGGCGTGTGTAACTTTTCGTTCCTTCTTGTTTACTCGAATGTGGATATTGATTTCTGTACGATGTTTCTGTTTGTTGGCGTATATCGAAGAGGGACAGTGGGGAATACGAGAGTACGGGAGTAGGGAAAAGAAGGAGACAGAAAGACGAAAATAAAAGAAAAGAATAAGAGGGAAAAGACAGACAAGAATAGCAATGCCCCAGCCTACATATGTATTTCTGTCATTATGTTTGAACGCGAGGAGGGGTGGGGCTGACGGGTCACATGTAGATTGAAAGAAAACAGACCACCTTCACGGAAGGAACACGAGCGAACTACGACCTACAGTTACAGGGAAAGATCGGCCTTTGCTGGCCCTAGAGATTAGATAAAAAAATAAAATAAATGAAAACGTCTTGCTGGCAACTCAAATAACCAGCTGATCTCTTTCGGAGGCACCCTCGACGTGAAGTTATATTCGAGATGACTCACCGTTCGAAGCACACCGACAGGACATCACTCGAATGAAGCAAGAGGGAAGAACTGCGTTCACCGTACACTTTTACATTACTTCAAAGTAGAGATTCAAATGCGCTAAGGTAGTACTCAATAAATGTCTCTTCAGACGCTTACTCGCACGATTCAAATCGACGCAAAGCTCCAAATCTACAGAGATAGAGTCGATGAGACAAAAGGTGACCATTGGTCAAAGTGTCAATGGAACACTCGCGAGCCACCCTTCTCGTTGTCACGTGGACGCCAACCATCGGTCATCAGCGTCATTCTAAGTTCAAGAAGCTTTCTACTGAGGAAGCGGACCCACTAAGGTTGCACGCTCGCCCGGCCTCCAGGCGAGCCTGCCTCCAGGCGAGCTTCCAGGCTGGAAGGCGCCCCCCTTACGTAACAGGTAAGGTAAGCCGTGAGGTAAGATTACGAACTGCGCGTTATGTAAGAAAGCGCCTAATGTTAAGGCTGACAATTTATGCCAAGGAAACTTTAAACAACATATGGTGATGAAAAATGGCTTTTACTGTGATATATATAGTTGCAATAAAAATAAAATAAATAACTGTACCGCAAATACAAGGTTTACGAGGCATCAGTAGATTATCAGAATTAAAAAAAGAAAATAATAAAGTAAAACGAAATAAGGAATGCAACGGAATAAAAATAAAAGGAAAAAGAAAAAGAGAGAGATAGAAGAAAGACGGAAGTTGGAGGTAAGACACACCGGTCGAGGAAAAGGGATGCATCTGGTGGTGTGATGGGCGCTGGTGGGCTCCTCGGGGCACACGGCCCAGGGACTCACACATGGGTTTGAGCTGCGACACCAGCTCCTCCTTCGTCCACTCCTTCTTGTCGCCCCAGAGCGCTAGGCTGGGCGAGATGGAGACCATCTTGTTGTCGTCCGGGTACGGCACGTTGAGGTAGTGCACCAGCACAATGTCGGGGTTCTGTCGAGGGTTGAAAAAAATTAATAAATGTGGCATGGAAATAAATAACAAACAGTATGAAACACCACGCGAAAGTATAAGGGAAGGAGGCGAACAGGCACGGGGCCTTGGCAAACGTTGGCACGCCTGTTTGAGTCATCACTATTTCCCGTCGACAAGACCCCGAAATGCGTTACCCTAGTTGAGGGAGGCGAGCAGCGGGCTAACTAGGACAGAGGTGCCAAATGGGTCTGTATCACGATCCCTCCAGCTCCCCCATTCCCTTTTCCCCCTAGGCCCCCGCGCGGCCTTCACCAAACAGCCGTAGTAGTAGTAGCCGCCCGTAAGCATACACTGCTTTTTCGCCACCGCCCGCGCCGCGACCCGCGACGGCCCGGCTCGCTCCCGGAAATTGTGTCAATAAGGAAACACCCGCACGATAACGCCGGCAGCGACGCCCGGGCGGGAAAAGGAGAGAGGGGGGGGGGACGGCGTCGGCCTGGCAAATTCTGCCACTAGGACCTGATGGCGAGAGTCCCGCGCGGCCCCCCGCTACCGCCCACCAGGATGGCGGTGTCCCACTGGCCCCACCGCGCCGCACCCGCGCCCCTCGCCCGAGCCGACCCCCCGAAAACTTTTGTTTCGAGCAGCAAAGGGATGATCACGCAGCGGCTTGTACGGTTCCCGGGAGCAAAGTGACAAACATTCTCATAATTATTAGACTCGCTCGGCAACAAAATTCACAGAGATATGACTCTGGGGGGAAGTCGGCGAGGAGGTGGCGGGCGCGGCGTTGCAGGGCGAACGGGGACGGGGACAGGGGG